TACCAGTCGCGAGGACTAATTGTTTCCATGAATTTTGGTTTTCTTCATTCTTCTTTGCTCTGGACGAGGAGAGCCCCATTGTTGCATCTAGATGGCAGCTTGCAAGCTTTTAAGATCCCAGTCACTACTCACCAAAGTAGGAGGTGGAACAATGTTTTGTATAGTATGTTATGCCAAGGCTGTAAATCTTTACGGAAGCAGAGTATCCCATCATTCTTCTGCAGAGTGGCTAGTAGGTTTGAACCACTGAGCCTCTGATTAGCACCAACATGCCTTAACTACTACACCAACCAGAGCTCCTTAGCCAGGGCCATATAGATTATATATATGTACTTTAGATAACTCAAACATCTAAAGAAATGGTTCTTAACATTCACTGGACATCAGATTCACCCAAGGAGTTTTAAGAAATGAAATGTCTGGATCCATACAGCTTTAGTGTTCTGGGGGTAGTGACCCAATTCTAAAAGCATGCCAGGAATTCTGATGTGTAGCTAGGATTGAGAACCACTGATCTAGACATGCAGTTCTCAGTTTCTGTAGTGATAAAGAAGGTAAAATTCTGAAGTCAATTTCCTAAAGCCACATAGGAGAGTAAATAACCATAATACTTCTGAAGTGATTAAGTGTATATCACATTTGTCCCCAGGGACACTGTTAACAACTTGGGCAGGACACTGTCATAGTTTCAAACACATCTCTTTAGACAGAAAAGCATCAGCACTGCAGCAAATAATTTTCCCTGAAGTTCACCATATTTTTCACATATATTTATTGTGTGTCAAATTTATCTCCTAATAAAAATGTCTTTATAAATATGTATTTTTTTTTTAAATACAGCCACCTTTGTGAATGTCCAGATTTTAATATCATAAAAATCAAGACCAAACTCACTGACACTGAGTTGAATCCGAGTGATAGCAACCCCTCCTTGGGTTTCTGAAGCGGTATCACTACAGAAGTAGATTGCTCAACCTTCCTTCTGAGGAGTGACTGGGGGTTTGAACCACCAGTCTTATGTGAGAGATTTAGTATTTTCATAGCCAATCTGCCAGTGATTTATCAAGTACAGTACAAATAAGATGTTAAAGAAAGAAGCAAAAATTAAGGTAATTCATATAAAACAGTGAAAACCTCCTTACCTGAAATTTTAGTGCTTGGGCTTCTTACAGAATTTTGTAGTGGTAGAATGAGTTGTCTTTTTAACGAAATAAGCAGTCTTCAGTGTTTTTATAGCGTTAGTTACTACAGAAATTATACTTCTTTTACTTCTTGTCTTGAAGGGTGAACAAAATAAACAAACTGAAAACACTACAATGAATGGTAAATGATGAAAGACTTACAGCACAAAAAACAGCGTAAAAAGGAAGACAAGTTTAAATATTGTTGTGTAAGAAAGTGATGAAAATAATACAAGAATGAGAATAAGTAAAATGATAGGCTGGAACATCTGGGAAGGTAAATGCAAAGACAAAGAGAAGAATTAATTAATAATAATGAAAAAGTTATGTTCATAATAACTAATTTAAGTATTCCTGCAACTTAAAAGAAAGAAGAACCCTCTTTTAAGCTTATATTTTCCGAAGGTACCTTGTCAAAGCCTATTATCATACACAGTGCTTTATTTCACTCTAATTTCTACTTTTTTCCCTGAGAGTATAATTTAAAATACATATATTCACATTATTCACGAAATCTGCAACAAGAAAATGAAAAATCAATTATTTGATAAAATAAATAGAAGAAACAAGCTCCAGCATTTCATTTCAAAATTCAACACATTTTATCATAATTTTTTTTTTCATAGCAAAGCAGAGAGACATGCAAGATAAATAAGCTATAGGGTTGCAGTATGTCTGATTGTGGTTACTAACAGGCAGGTACTCTACTGTCAAGCTCCTATGTATAAGTGCTTTATAAACACAAATGCCTTGCTTGTATCTCTTTAAAAGCCATGCGCGCTATTGTACTTTTGTTGGTTTGCCAGTGGAGAGCGAGCATCATGCTGGCCAGAGGGGTAGGTAGCAATGTCTGTTTTGTTTTATAAATGATCTCTTATGTGGCTGACTGACAAAGCACATTGGTCTTTGAAGTGGCCACCATACCTGGCCATCGAAGCTCAGTCCAACTCATCGGCTGTGCCTCTACAAATCAGGATGAAGGAAAAATGCTAGTTTCCCTGTTCTGGAAAGAATTCTTACTAGTTTCCTGAGGCAGAATTAGTGTTGTCTTCTTAGAACACTCCTTCCCCACTCCTAAGATTCTCCACTGTGGAGTGGACAATGATTTTCACCAGAAATCATGATCATGCTACTTCAACTTGTAGTTAAAGAGAGGTTTCCGTGTTCCTTTTGGTAGGACCTTAGACACAATATAATCTCTCTTTCTCACTGGTGGCTACATTTTACCAGAAGCTATGCATCAATTTTGTTGTCTGACACTCATTTTATATCTTGTCTTGAAAACTGCAAATTCACAAATGAAGATTCCTATTCAGGGTCTTCTTGCAGTTTGATCTGTTAAAACAAGTAGGTATGGTAATTTTGAAAACTTTGACTTTCTAAAAATAGCATGTTTAAAGCATGCTATTTAGTCTCTACTCAAAAAATGGGGTTCTTGTTGTTATGTGCCATCAAGTCGGACCCGACTCACAGCGACCCCTCCTTGGGTTTCTGAGGCGGCATCACTACGGAAGTAGATTGCCCAATCTTCCTTCCGAGGAGTGGCTGGTGAGTTTGAACCTCCAGCCTTCTGGTTAGCAGTCAAGTGCTTTAGGCACTATGCCACCAGAGCTCCCCAAAAAGTGGGGTGGGGGGAGTCAATTTTCCTTCTAAACAAGGCAGAGAGGAAATAATTACAAAGTGATTGGGTTACAAAAACCTGAGGCTTGAAGGAGGACAGTGTAAAAGCACAGGCACGCTGTAGGCTTCGAAACCCAGCAAGGCTCGGAGCTCGGCCTTCCTACAGCGGGGCGTGGAAGTTGGTGCGCGGAGCTGCCCACCAGCGAGCGCAGCTCCGCGGGCCAGCCTGTCCATCGCCAGGGCTCGCAATAGGCAGAACTGTACCTGACTCACGGATATGGGCTCCTCAGCGCCATGGTCCTCGGCGGACTTGGGCACCTCGAGGCGGTCGATGAAGGTCTGCAGTTCCTTGCGGAAGGCCTTCATCTGCGCGTTGATGCGGTAGAGCAGCTCGTGTTCGCGGATGCGGCTCCCGTCGTCCTCCTCATCCATCAGTCCAAACAGGTCCCCGTTGGCCACGTAAATGCGCGCCTCGGTGATGATGGTGCTGGTGTCGGCGATGAGCCGGTCGATGGTCTTGCCGAGGCGCTCGGCCTCGGAGCGGATGTCCTTCATCTGCTGCCGGTCAGAGAAGCTCTTGGGCCAGGGCCCGGGCGCCGGGTAGAAGGAGCGGGTGGGCGTGAGGCAGCGGATGTTGCGCACCTCCTCCGAGTCGCTCTCGCCGCCAATGGGCCCTTCGCGCTTGCGGTGCGGAGGCCGGGAGTCGTCGTCGCTTTCCTTCTTGCCTGCGTCGCTCTCAGCGTCGCTGTCGCGGGGGCTGCCCCGGATGCCCAGGTGCGAGGCCAGGTCATATCGCTGCATGTTGGACATGAGCACACGGTTCTCGTATTGCAGCTGCATGACCTTGCCGCTGAGCTCGTTGATCTGCAGGCGCGCAGCCTTCAGCTCCTCCTGCAGGGCCTCGGTCTTGGCGCTATCGTGGTGCCGTGCGCTGTCGTGGCCGCCTGACTTGTACTTGTACTTGTTGAGCTCCGCTGTGATGCGCTTGTTCTGTTCCTCCAGGTCAGCCACGTTCCTCCGCAGGAGCTCCGTCTCGTCTTCCACTAGCTGCAGGTGCTGTCGTAACTCCGACAAGGATTCACTCTGCTCCCTCATGAGGGGGTTCGCTGATCCGTTGAAGTCATCGCCTCTCAAGTCATCAAGTTCTGCCTTCAGGCCACGGTTCTCTACTTCCAGTTCGACGATTTTCCTACCCAGGATGTTGGCTTCCTCCTCCACCAGCCTCAGTCGAAGCTTAAGCTCAGCTTCCCTAGTGCTGGGAGGTCCTCCGGCTTCTCCTTTGGGCAAAGGACTGTCCAGATCCCCATAAAAGGATCTGTATTTCTGGAGCTCGTGTTCAAATCGGTCCTTTTCTTTATCAATCTTGGCCATTTTCTTTCTCATCAAAGCAGCTTCTTCCTTAACGAACTGTAGCTGGCATTTCAGATCTTCATTGTCCTCCTCATTTGGGGAAAAGAGGGGAGAGGATAGAGATCATTTTTATGGAAAACAAGAAAGTGTTTTTGATTTATGTAAGTGAGATCAGAAAGGACGCTTGCAAGAATAAATTATTTTTCTTATAATTAAGATTTGATTCAAGAAAGAGCCAAAGAGGAAGCTTTATATTTTTTTTCCAAATTGCCCAAATTCCTTGGCAAATACTAGATTAGGAAAATATTGCCACTGATTGGAGTGGATTTGGACCCATAGGGAACCTACAGGACAGAGGAGAATGTCCTATGTTTCCAATGCTGTAAATCTTTACAGAGAGTGGCTGGGTGGGTTTGAACCACCAACCCTTCTGTTAGCAACTGAGCACTGTGACCACTGCACCACCATGGCTCCCTAGGACAATTTTACATCCTGAAAACAAAAAGTGAAAAGGAAGAAAAAGAGGAAAACTGTGGTCATCACTTTTCAGAGAGTACTGTATTTTTTTTTTTTTTTGCATGTAATGCACCCAGTAAATAACACACCCACACATAGCAAGTATAGGAAACTAATTTGCAAGGGGCTTGTACAGTGTGCCAAATTCATATAATGCCCTTGTTATTTGTGTAAAAATATGTTATTATATGTTGTAGCTGCTTGGCAGTCATTTCAACAGCCTTGCTTTTTATTTGCTTGCTTTGCTTTTTCACATGGTTTGAATTCCCCTAATTGTAATAAATATGAAACCTACTCCCTAGAAAGAAGATATGATTAATTTGCAATCACTGCCATTTATTGAGTACTTTAGTCAAGATCTATAAAATCTTTACACATATCAATTTAATGTTCAGAGTAAACTTTGAGTAAGTATTAAATTTCCCACTTTAAAGATGTTGGAAAGTCAAGGTCACATAGCTAATTCAGTTCTAAATGACACAAATGCTCAGGTTCATAATCACTTTGCCTTCCAGAAAATAATCTGCTTTCTAGCTTTACTCAAGGATGAATTTTTTAAAAGACCTTTGAAACAGGGAAAGTTTAACAATGGAATGGCTCATCCAAGAAGACACTGAAAGGTATTCTGCCTAGGTCACTAATGAGTGTATTCCCATTAGTCTGAAATACAGTCAGTCATTCCTGGGGAATGGATAATGGAGTAGACCCTGTAGAAGTTCCTCTTGCAGGTTCTCAGAACAGCCTTTAAGCCCTGATCATGATCACTAAATCGAAAGGCATAGAAAAGGAGAAATGGAAATCAACTTTCTCTGGAAGACATTATAGAAGCATATTACTAGAGTCATGGAGAACAGAAGACAATCCACTCTAGTCTTAAACATGTCACAAATTTAAGATGTAGATTTGACCAATCATGTAACTTCTGCAGATGTTGGTTTCTTTATCTTTAAAATGGTAGTAAAATTTCCTTTCTATGCAGCATTTGGAGTCACCTGCATTTGGGATGCATTCTAGAAATGAAGTAGCATCACTGTTGGTGAAAGTGAGAACAGAAACGGGCTTCTTTCAGGGATTCTCAGTAAATATGGCCCAGAGCCTTTGAGATGAAAGAGGTGGAGAACAGGACATAGATCTTCTATCCTCCCATCTTCCAAGGGGAATATAGAGGTTCTGAGAGCTGCTGGGTGTGTGCAAAGTCTGAACTTCACATATATTTTAAGTCCTAACATCAGTCATGGCAGGAAGGTAATATTAGCTCCCTTTTACAAGTAAGGCAGTAGAGCTTCGAAGAGGTTTATTAACATGGCAGGGCATAAGTGAGTAAGTCTCAAAGCACAGTCTATTTGAGCCTGTTTGATTCTAAAGCCATGTTCTTTCCACTGTACATGTTGCCTCCAGGAACCAACACCAAAGAAGAAGAGTAGAACAATGGTGTACAATTAAAGAAACCAGGTGTGCTAGCTAGTACACATTCCTCTACAAGAGGCTGAGAAGGAAGGAAGGAAGCACAGAAAGAAGAGAAGGGAGAACCTCAGTAGCATCTTGAGGGTGTGTCATGGGAAGATTTGATGTGAGAATCTCCTTCTTAAGGGAAGAGAAAAGTCATGGCCCTACAAGAGACTATGCATTGGAGTGCTTAAATGAATCCAGTGAGAATGAAACCAAGAACATAGTGCAGTATTTAATCACATCAACAGATGAATCAAAGATAACCTCGAAGTTTTGAGCATGGGTATCTGTGGGATTGTTCTGCCAATAATAAGGACGGAGAATAAACATAGAGAAGCAGATTTAGTGTGAAGAATGTGGGTCTGAATTTTTTAAATGCTGTCTTTAAGGTTGATAGTGGAGGGATACCTAGTGGAAACATCTATCAGCAGGCATGTAGAGTCTCAGGGTGATAATCTCAGGTCCAGAAGTGAGGAAATGAGAATTAAATGAATAGAGGTGATGGCTGAAGATGCTGCAATTATTATAAAGTCAATCAAAGAGAAAAATAAAAGAAAGGAAGACAGATAAAAAGGATCAAAGGTTTGGGAAGTGGAGGAAGAGAGAGTGTAGGGTCATGGAGGCTAACAGAAACAATGCTTGAATAGAAAGGTGACCAACAGTATTAAATATGCTTATATGGTCTTGTTAGGAAATAAGAGTAGATGAATCTGGGAAACCAGGTCAAAGCTATGTCTAAGGTGGAAGTCCTTGACTAAAACACAAAGACATTATTTGGTAGTACAACAACAACAGTAAAAATGTTGGCATAATGATGCAGATTGAAAGTAACCAAAACAGCTGTTGTTACGTGCCGTCGAGTGGGACCCAACTCATAGCGACCCCTCCTTGGGTTTCCGAGGCAGTATCACTACGGATACTGCCTCGGAGATTGCCTCATCTTCCTTCCAAGGAGTGGCTGATGGGTTTGAACCACCAGCCTTCTGGTTAGTAGTCAAGTGCCTTAGCCACTATGCTACCAGAGCTCCTCCTAACCAAAACAGCAGTGGGTGTGATATATGAAGCATGGATTGGAGCCGAATAACACCTCACTGGGCTAAATTAAAGGAGCTCTGGTGGCTCAGTGCCTAAGGCATTTGACTGCTAACCAGAGGTTGGTGGTTCAAATCTACCAGCAGCTCCACAGAAGGAAGATGGGGCAATCTACTTCTGTGAAGATTTACCACCTCGGAAATCCAATGGGGGTCACTATGAATTGGAAACAACTCGATGGCAGTTGAGTTTGGTTTTGTTGGTTTGGTCTAAATTAAGCAAATAAAAAGAGAATATCTGATTTGTGAGTATGTAAGCTCTCCTGCCCCAAAGAATTGAAATACAAGAGCTATTTCAAGACTTGTATATACTGCATGTAATAAAGTCATCATGAAGGGAGGAGATGCATCAAGGGAATGATGGGCAGGGTAATTATTTTATTTAGTGAAAAATAAATCGTTTCAAGATACCAAGTGTGATAGTTTCTGGAGGGTCAAGAGTTTAAGAATCCTGTATGTCAACATGACTTAGATTCTTATACTGTAGCCTAAATTTTTTAGGCTGCATTTAGAATTGGGCACGAAGATGAAGGACAGTAAGATGTGAGCTATGGCATGTTTGGCTTAAATAGCCACTAGTACCTATATTAACTTGTTTAATCTTTACAACAACTCTATTGTGATGATCATTTTAGAGATGAGGAAACTGACACAGAAAGAGTAACTTGTCTAAGGGTCATACAGTTGGTATATGGTTTCAACCTAGGGAAATCTATTGTTTTTAATTACTATTTTATATCATTTCTAAGTAAAGGAAGTCACATATAAGAAATTGATCAAAGAAGCTGAAGCAAATTAACAAAATGGAATGCAAAGCTATATGAATAATATCATATTGAGCCACATAAAATCGCCATTTCTATAGGTCAAAGTGAGTAGCATGTTGGCAATTTCATGTGGTTCAACCTAGAAAATGGGAACATGGTAGTATTCACAAGTGCACAGTAAGTACATGCAGAGTGCCAGGCATTCTGCTAGACACTGACAATTCAAAGTTGAATAAGAAGACCCCTGCCTACAAAATGTTCCTGGCTAAGAAGGGGAGAATGTGTATACCTGAATTACAACAGAAGGTGATGCTTGCAGTGATACGTTTGTGGATCAATGCAATAGTCTTGAGCCTTGACTGTAAAACAGAATCATCTACAGTATATTTTATAATACAGATCTCCTATCCTTCTCAGATATTACTACAATCTAGGGATCCATCTCCTAGATTGGGTATTTGAAAAGTAATAATTTCTAAAAATAAATAAGTTGAAAATGATAGCAGGGCTTTTTATTTATTTATACCAGAAAATGTATGCCTGTGGAATAAAAACTGGTAGACTGCAATGTATCTTGACTTTTGTGAGATCTCATGTCCCAATGAGAAACTGATAAAAGCTATGGATGTTTTTTTGCAGAAAGATGTACACATGGACATGAAGTAGGGGGTCCAAAGAGTCAGAAATAAAGAGTTAAGAACTCCTGGATTAGAGAATGTTGTTGAAAAGAATAAATATACTTTAACATAAAAAGAAGGGAGTGCTGGTGACACAGTGGATAAGCACTGGGCTGATAACTGAAAGGTTTATGGTTTGAACCCATCAGCTGCTCCACAGAATAAAGATGTGGCAGTCCACTCCATAAATATTTACAACCTTGGAAATCCTGTGGGGCAATTCTACCCTGTCCTACAGAGCCACTATCAGTTAGAACCGACAAGACAGAAACAGATTTGTGTTTTGTCTTTTAATATAAGTAGGAATAATATGTGGATTTCTTTTTTTAATAACTGCTGATTAAAGCAGACTTAAGATTTCAGGGCATGGAGCACATAGCATCTCCCAAAACAAAGAAGTGGAGAAGAGGATTTGTGACATGACCATAGCAAAATAGTTAAGAGTCAGGTAGCTATTGTTATGACAAAGACAGAGTGGAAATGCTATAGTGACAGAGCACACTTGAACTTATTAAGGGAAAAGGGAGAAAGATATAGAAAAAATAAGATGCTGGTATTAAACCTTCTGGTATTCTAGAAATGCTGAAGCCTGTAAATGTTCTTTGTGCAAATATCAGGAGAAAAATTAATCAGAGGGGCAATAAGAGCAGAGCAGGGAGCAGAGAGAATGGAAGTGTAATGAACATTTTAATAAATGTTCTACTTTTTCAAAAGAACACTTGAGCTCAACCTTTTCAAATTCTCAATATTTAAATATTTCCTTATTTAAAGCTATTATCAAATGACAAAATAATCTTATAGGAATATAAGAGTTAAATGCATAATATACTATAGGTTCCAAGGTACATGTTTAAAATTCATTATCTAGCCAAGTGTTTTGCACCATCTCCTACAATGTCACTTATGTCCCAAATATTACCTTTTTTATTTTCAAGTACTCTCCATTGCATCTCTCAGCAGGCTTTGCTCACCCTGGAAACTGAGCTAATCTTTACTGTAGCTGTAGCTGTGTTTCTAAGGTCCCTAACAAGCCCATCTTGAGTACATCTTTTAAGTTTTATCTACATTCTTTGGCTTCCCCAATCACTGGGAAACAGAATCACTTCATTCTAGGGCTCTCTGATGGCATTAGGAGCCCCTCTCCACTCTCTTCCTACAATGTTCCTTCCTTTACTCTCCCCCGATACTTAGGAACAGCCATTCTGTCGACCCCATTAATTATGAGCAAACAAGATTAGCACCATGGGTACAGTTCTCAAATATGGCAACACATAAAGTTATAATGACATTTTGCTGTGCACTTACAATGTTAAAGCAATTACAACAGGAATGTTAGGTAGCGCCAGCTTTATAAGCAAATATATCAAATACTTTATACTGCCTGTGTCTTCAGCTACATGACTGAATATACATAATTTGACTTCTTTTGCATACTCAGTGTATCCAGGTATGTCTCTTCATATATATTTAGTGATGTTTGATTTAATAGGTAAAATTTTATGTCCACATACCTCTGTAGGAGTCTGTTGAGCCTTTTTTTCAGATTTTGGCAAGTCTTTGCTTCCTCTTCTTTTTAAGGATAACTGAAACAAAGCATGAATACATTTACTTTGGTAAATACTGATTTTAATTTTAATTCCATTTTATGTTTTAAAGGGTCCTCATGTGACATGACAAATTCAAGTCAGAAAAAAAAAAATTATTTCAATAATCATGAAGGAGAAAAAAGCCCCAAACAAGGTATATTTAGTTTTAGACTGTTATACACATCACAGTTAGGGCTTCATCTGATCACAGTAGAAAAGCTAGAAATTATCAAATTAATTTGAAAAATACAGGAAACCTGTGAAAATGCAGAACAACATCTTACACAAAATTTATACTGATGATTTAATATGCTATAGAGCTCAAATGAAAGCAATTCATATCACACACACACAAAAAGACTATGTTGTTATTTCCAGTGTTGAAGTTAGGTTGTTATAGCTTGTAAAGACAAACTTTCAATGGATTTATGCAGAATGTAAGATTTCTCATTCTTCCTCGCACACATGAAAATTGATGTACACAATTTACATACACACATAAACACACATATGGGTGATACAATAGAGAATGGCAGGGGCTATAGTGGAGCAGAGATGGTGTGCCCCAACTAAAAGGACTAGTGGTCTAGGAATTTGCTTCAGTTGATCACATAATACAGAAATGTGGGCTCCTTCTTGCTAGGTCTTTATTCTTCAAGAAAAATTGGAAATCTGAATTATTACGTAAAATCTCCCAACTTTTATTTGTTGGCCATAATTGAAATTAAAAACAAAGTACATTTTGTAGATCAAAGAATACATATGTAGTGGCAAATCATCCCACAGCCCAGCAGTATGTAAACTCTTATGCTTACTTTCATTTCTCATCACCAATATAATAAGAATAGGGTCTCTCTTTGTACATAGTAATTTAATTTTCAATGTGTATGAATATCTACCATGTGCCAGATATTGAACTGGCATAAGGTTACAACTTAGTGTGAGAAGCAGAGAAAAAAAGTAACTACACCTACTTCTCACTAATCAACTATCTTGTCATCTAACATTTCAAATTTATAAAAAAGTCTATTTGACTATTTTGCACATTAATGATGTATGTCTGGCTGTAACAAATGGCAAGGTATGAGGCAAGAGTAACACTGGCTGTGATGGTTAAGGTTATGTGTCAGCTTGGCTGGGCCATGATTCAGTGATTTAGCAGTTAAGCAGTGATGTAATTTGGCAGTTATGTAATAATGTAATTTGGCAATTATGTGATTACCTACTTATCCTCCATTTTGTGATCTGATGTAACCATCTTCCATTTTTACATAATACTTATTTTCACATAAGGAAATGGTCTTTGGAACCTAGCCATGTTGATAAATGAGAAGTGGGTTTACAGTACAAGTTGATAAATACAACACCATTACTTGTATAGGCAGACACTTTGTCTATCAGACATAATGAGACTAGTGCCTGCCACATGGAGCTGATGAAGAAATATTTGCTGGATTAATGAGTGAATACAAAATAAAAGATCATAGGGTCAGAAGAGAGGAAGGAATTTTACTGGAAGATGCAGATGTGGGCAGAGCGTAAAACCAAGAAAGGCTTCTCAAAAGAGGGCATTTTATGAACTTGCAAAGAACTGTAAAAATCTAGTGTTAAAAGAAGGTGTACATTCAGACAAAGAAAGCATTGCTTTTTTTGAAATACATTGCTGCAACTGCATTAATTATGAAATTGACACTGCAGAGCCAAGTAAACAGTCCATGTGGTTATTAATTTCTAGTTCTTCACAGAAAGAATGTCATCCATACCGCGTTTATTATCTCAGAAATGAAAGCTGTGGGGACTCGCCACAACCAAAAGCAATTCAGGAACAAATCAACAAAAACAGTGCCAAGAAAACCATCGATATATAGTCAGCTGAGCTAGTAGGAACGTCTGGAACATTCTAGGTGGGTGCTACCTACAAAGAAGTACCTAAACTCATTTTACTAAATATTTATTGAATGATTTTATTTTTAAATCACTTCATTATATATCTATGCTGTGCCTCTAATATACTCTACAAGGCACCTATGATACAATAATAACCAAAACAA